GCTGCTCCAAAAGTAATACCTTCTATTTTATGGTGTTGGCCCCATGACACCAGAGGTGGATATTGGTGGGATGGCAGAAGAGTTGACCCTTCCTGCCAATATCCAATCACGTTTTGTTGCTATGTGGCTGATGGCAGCAGAGAGGCAGTGTGACACAATGGCATCTGACATGGAAGTGAGTATGGAGCAAAGGTGTGTCACTGACTTTCTCCATGCGGAAAAAAATGGCCCCCACTGACATTCATTGATGCTTGCTGAGCACTGATGGACACCAAGCAGTGGATGAATGTGAGCACAGTGAGGCGGTGGGTGTGGATTTCAGCAGTGGTGACAGTGGCAGTGTGTCACCTGCACTGATGCAGGTATTTCCGAGCACAGCGTGCAGGCTCTTGTACCTTCGTGGTGAAAGTGCATAGCTAGTGATGGGAAGTATGGTTACAAATAATGCTTTGTAGCATTTGCTCTATGAAACACTGTTATTTTGTTCTTTGCATCTGTTGTCTTTTCCATGGAAATAAATAGGAGGCATTACTTTCGGAGCGACCAGCGTATATTAAACAAAGCGCTGAAGCTGCGCAGGCCGCCGCTAGAGGGCAAAGCAAGCTAAACAATCATCATCCCTAGAGCGACAAAGAAAAGGATGTCACTCTAGGAGGCCTCTGCCATAGCACGCTGTGAATCACCAAAACGGGCTTACCCGGAGCTAAGGCCAAAAAGGGGCACCGACGGGAAAGCCAAGGCTAAACACGCAGCCTGCAGCCCCAGCAGGATGTGTCCGCCCGCAGCTGCCAGGCACAGTGACTCAAGGACAGGCAAAGCACGGCCTGCTTGCACGCTCTGGGCTTGACAACCCAGTGACCTACATCTGTCTCCGTAGGACTGAGAGCAGCTCCTCGCTGTGCTACGGCATGGTGCTGCAGTGTGCATCGTGCAGTGGGGGGTGGAAGGCAAATTAATTAGGAAAGCATTGGATTTGCTTGGAAAGAAAAACATTAACTGTAAATTAATTCAATCTTGATCAATGCTTACCCAGTTTGGGGTTTTTTTGTCTCATTTTGAATTTGAGTACCACCGAATGTGAAAGCTTCATTTCTTTCACATCCACCACAGACACTTGCTAAGTATTTCTGAGAGCTTGTTGCTGTAGTTCTCACTTAACCAGCTCCTGTCGTACTTACAAGATGAAATGCTGGCAGTTTTGTGTTTTAGGCATTGTACCACTACATCAGAAAGCAATTAAAACAAACGCCTTGACGATAACTGCTGAGCTTCACATTAAGCAACATTATTTTATACCAATACAGGAAAATGTCAGTAGGTGTTAACTATAAAAGAACATTCAGAGCAGCTCCTAGTATTGGTAAAAAAGGAGCATATCTAAGCAAAAAAGTGCACTCAGCAAGGTACTTGTCAGAGACACAGTTACAGGGAAACGAAGCCCCACATTAATTGCTTCTCTGGTAGTTATGTGTAATAGCAAGTATCTGCCACAACTCACCTCTCCCAGCTGAGAACAACCATACACTGCTACTTTCTGGCCACAACAGTATGGAGCTGTACAGATGCTTTCAGTGCTACATGTGCTGCACATGACTGCACTTCTTTGTGCCTTTATCTGAAGAATACAGAGGGCAGCAGCTGAGACATGAGCTCTATTTAAACCGTTCTCATCGCTGCCCACAGCTCTCATCTTTTCCTCTATTTACTGTCTGAAGCATCACTGATGAATCTGAATCAGTTAAATTGACATCGCTTTGCCTTTGGACAGCTTAGTCTAACCCTCATTGGTTATTTTGATCCTCCTGTGTAATGAAAAAAGCCAACTTGGATAAAGCTGAATGAGCAGTACTTAATGTTTTAAGCAGATTTCAGGGCTTCCCACAATTTCCTTAAATTTTACGCTAAAACTCTTTGAAATTGTCCTTACAAAAGCAGGAAAATACTTCAGGACTGCTTAACAGAAACGTCTGAGGGGTGTAATGGTAAAAAGCTCTCTCCAGACGTACAATTAGCCCGAGCAGTCAACCAGGACCTGCATTCAGCTCTTTGCAGCAGCAACGCTCACATCAGCAGCCCGTAGAACATCGGCAGGGAAAAGCCGTGGGCCAGCACATCCCCCGGCCGTCTCTTCCCCGCACAGCTCTGCTGTCCCCTTCCTTCTCCTCAGGAGCTGCTGTGAGGTGAAAGCCGGAGAGCCAGGGAGCTGTGAGGGCACAGCGGGGCCGGAGGCACTCCCACCACACCGAAACGCTCGGAGCTTCCATCTTAGGGCTGGGCACGAGAGCCGGCTCTCACAGCAACGCGCCCAGAAACGTCAGCGGCGGCGGGACAGGAGCGAGCGAGGCGCGTGACGACTACCAGCCCAGAGACGCGATACGCGATACGCGCCCCGCCGCGGGACGCCGCCCGCCGCCTCACAGTGCGCGTGCGTGTGAGCATCGCGCGCTCCAGCAGCGCGGCCGCGGCCTGCGCTTGTGCACTACGCGCCCTCACGTCAGCTCCCCTTCACTCCCCTTCTTTTTTTTTTCCATCATGCCTCGTAAGGAGCCGGCTCTCGCGAGAGAGCTGCTTTCTCGCGGCAACCGCCATCTTGAAGAAGGACGATCACGTGACCGCGTGCAGCCGTTCGCCTCCGCCTTCCCCTCCCCCACCCAGTGGGAACCGGGCCCGAATCGTCCTTCTCAACTGCCGCCGCCGCCCTGGGGCCGTGACCGCTCGCTCAGACGTCGCTTTTTGAGGATACCCGAAAAGCTCGCTGGTTTTATTTTTATTTTTACTTTTTTTTCCGGAACGAGCCGCCTCAGAGGCGGGACGAGAAGAGGAGCGGCACGTCACGTGATGGCAGAGCGCAGGGCGAACGCGCCAAGACCCGGCAGCGGCGGAGAGGGTGGGGGATGGGCGCGCGAGGGAGCGGCGGCGACCACGTGACCGGCTAGATCCCGGAACGTAGGGGGGTCGCGGATCACGTGGTACGGAGCGCGCGCCAGCGGCGGGCTAGGCGTCACGTGGGAGCGGCGCGCGGCGCCGTCACGTGGTGCGTCGCGGCGGGCGGCCCCAGCCCCCTCCCTTCCCCCTCCCCTGCGAGAGGGGAGGGAGGGCCAAGATGGCGGCCGGGAGTTAGAAAGCGGCGAGCGGCGGGGCCAGCGGCGGAGACTTTCGGGACCGGTCGTGGGAGGACCGGGGACGAGAGAGAGTAAGTCTGCCTCCGCCGTTCCGTTTGTTTGTTGGTTCCTCGGCTTCGCTTCGAGATGCGGCGGGGGCGGCCGCGGTGCCCCCGGGGGTCCGCTCCTCTCGGCGCGACGCGGCCCGTGGGGCGCTCCTAGGCGGCGGGGGCCGCGCCGAGGCGGAGCGCCGTTCCCGCGGCGCCTCTTGGCCTCCCGGTGCCAGGCGGGCCCGTGCCGCCGCCCTCGCCTTGGGGTCCTCGCCGGGCCGGGGCCGGGTGCGGGGGAGGCCGCCGCCCCTCGGGTGCCGCGCGAACTTCGGGGGCGGGAGGGCGGCCGGGGCTGCGGGGATCGGGCGGCGCGGGGGCGGCTTCCGTGCTCGGAACTGCCGCTCCGGGCCGGGCTCGGCCGTCCGCCTTTGTGCGCCCATTTCGGGGCTGCAGGGCGGAACGCCGCCGGAGCGGAGCCGGAGGCGAGCGGGGGAAGGGGCCGAATGGGTTCGGCGCCGTTAGGCGCTGCCGTGCCTGGAGACTCTTCGCCTTTCCCCGCGGTCCTGACGCTGCGAAGGGGATCCGAAAAGCGAGGAAGGGGCCGAAAACAAAAGTAGCGCACGGGACACGATTACGCAGCCAATTCTGATCCCAACCCGGAAGTTTATGTCCGGAACACGTGTTGGCGAGGCTGCGGGCTGCGACCCTCCGGCTGCGGCGGCTCGG